TGCAAACTAATGGGAACGACAATCATGCCAAAAAAGAAGCTATTACAAGGAAATCATGAAAAGATCCACTTTCATAGTTGGAATGATGGACTTTTTGGAATCGAATTACTGAGTGAAGGCAAATTGCAAGCCAGTTTAAATGTAAGTGGGAACAAGCCCACAGTTTCAGTTAACTGTGCAATGTTATCTGAAACATATCACCCAAGGATATGGAGGCTTATACTCTAGTCTTAGCTGCTCTTCAGAAACTCAGCCTGATTTCCCTTGAGAGGGAATTCCACAGTCAGGATATTGCTACAGAGAAAACTGTCCCACATGTATACATCAACCTACAAGATATGTGTTTCCAAGCTGAGAAAAGGCTCTGGAGAACAGAACAATTAGTTAACCACCAAAGTGAATGCAAACAATTCACTCCCTATTACTATTCAACAGGAAAGCAGCTTGATAAATAATTTATATCTGATAAATTGCTGCTGTGTAATGTATATTTCAAGCTACTGTCAGGTTAGCTGCTTTGGAATATGAAGTAGTTATGGCCAAATGCATTGACCTGTATGTGTCTTGTGCTACCACTTGGAGATGCTAATGCATTGGTGTGATCCATTATATTGCAAAACAAAACAAAGCAAAAACAACAACAACAACTCTGGAAGTCAGTCTAACATGATTTGGATATGTTTTACTATTTTCCTTTTGAGATTCACACACATCACAGAATGGGCTAGAAAGCAAACAGTAGACGACACTACTTCTGATCATACTTTTTCAATTCTCTGGGTATGCATGCAAAGAGCCTTCTGCAATTAGGAACTAACATGATATAAAATGAGTTGGGCTAGAATCTTTCTTCCTGTTATTTTTTTTTTATTTAACTGCAGTGTTGCCTGGAGTTTCAGTGTTCCTGCATATAAAACACCCCCTCCTCCCAATCTTCTTTCCATTAGAAAATGACTTGGCATTTCTAAGTGGATCATTTTAGTTCAGGCCAATATGGTGTGTTACTTTATATTTACACAAGGAACTATTCAAAAATGGCACACACACCCTGTTCCAATCCAAAGTGGTGCAGCCCACTCTGCCACCTTAGAAATCTGTCCCTTCATTTTAATGTGTACTAACCACAAAATACTGTTGGTACAAGGAGAACAGAAAGATTATAATAGTGTAGGAGTCGAGAACCTTTGGATGCCTTATAGTTCCAAACTCTCAACAATCTCACACAGGATGGTCAATGGTAAGTGACTGTGGGAACTGTAGTCCAAAATATTTATGGATCAAATGGTTCTGCACCATTTCCATTCCTACCTTCTTCCTCAAACTACACCATTTCTTTCAGAAGCTTCTTCCAAGTGTTGGAAGTATAGCAGATTCCTGCCATTTTATTTTAACCTGGCAATGGTCACTCACCAGGTGCTCCAGGCTGGCCTTTAATTCCTGGCAGTCCTAAGTAGCCCTTATTTCCTTTTTCACCAGGCATTTCATCATAATACTCTGTCTTAAATAAAAGAGCAAGAGAAAGGGAAAAAAGGGTGAGGAAAAGAACAATAATGAAGAGAAGGGCACTGCAGCCAGTAGCAAAACCATGGAACATGCAAATTATAACTGTACAATGACTCACTTTTCACTTATTAATATTCTAAAATTAATTTCAACTCATTCTTACATTGGTTTTCCTTATGTGAATTGCTTCCCAGGTAAAGAAAGAGAGCAAAAACAACCCATCCTTAAATTTATTTTAGCTACATGTCTAGAAGTAGGCCTCTCACATTGAACAACACTTTGTTGCTGTGTACTTTCTATTAATTTTAAGATGTTTAAAATTAAATATTGAGGCACACTTACTGGACCCTGAATTCCTTGACGGCCAGCTTCACCTTTTCTTCCCTGTATTAGAAAATGGAAGTGGTCTTGTTGAGATAAAAACAACAAATGTGGTAACTTCAAATTTAACAGAAGATGAAAGCCACTGATGGATATAAAATCAGGGGCTGCTTAGGCTATACTTTAAAAATAACTGGATAAGTACTTACAATTTTAATTGATAAATCTAAATTTAAATAATGTCTGCACACTTCTGCCTTGATCAATGTTTTGTCTTAGGCATTGCCCATACTTTCCATGGTTTCATCTACCTCTTGGCTTTTCCATCTCCCTCTTAGGGATTAAACTTTGCAATGACTTACTAGTATCCACTCTATTAATCAAACCTGTGAGAACATTCTTTTGTTCCTTTTCCCTACCATAGTTCTTGCTGGTTATCAGCTTTATAAAGCCTTGAATAAAGAATCCTTTTCTATGCCAAGTACAGAATGTCATTTTACATTCTTGTTGTGAGCCACCTAAAGCTTTGGAAAGACACAATAAAATTGTTAAAATTGTTAAATGAAATTATTTCTATTTTCTAAATATCTAGTTATTGTTAAAGTTGTATTTCTTTATTCCTAAATCAGTAATGGAAGTCTGACTGAGCATATGACAATGTGGTTTTCAACACTGGGTGAAAAAAAGAAAATGCAAAGCACAATGTACAAAAACTGAAACAGATTTTATTTATTTTTTTTACCTTTGGACCATCTTGTCCAGGCAATCCTGGGAAACCCTGTTCTCCTTTTTCTCCCTGAATTGACACAATATATATTATAATATGATTAACACTCTCATAGGGCAAGACTACAACACTGATGACTTATTTGCAATGTTCTTCTGAAAAAGCAGCAATCCTGTTAGTAATTGAGATAAATGGAACTTTTTCTTTTCATTTAACTTAAATCCATTAGCTATTCCAAACCAGAGTAGATCACTTCAAATTTATGTAGTTTATGTAAGTGTTACTATTCCACTTGAAGGTTTACTATAGTTAGGACTACCAGTGAGGCCAAGATTTCATCTGTGCACTATTAACGAATTATATCTTTTCCCCAAATGAATGCCAGTAATATTTTGGTTTTAAAAATATGCCAACATTTTGGAATCCAATGGTTTGCTCTGTTAAAGCCACTATAGATAAAAGAAAAAAGTCTCTGGAAGTCCCAGGTTATCCCCAGGAAGAAAAAACAGATATTCGAACTCTCAGAACTTTCAAAGATTTCATTCCTACTTCCAGGTTAGTTTAAATTAATGCAGTATTTTCTGAAATGAAATGTATCTCTGTCTGTCTGTCTGTCTGTCTTGGAAAAGACAGGCTAACAGCGGCTTCTGGCCACTTTCAGGGCATGGCGTTTACATGATGCATGGCTCCAAAGTGGCCCAAAGCTGCTCCGACACTGTGTTCCAGTCTTTTGGACTGTAGCAATAAGGAGCTGGGATAATCTGGCTTCTGGCGGTACACCTTAGCACCTGCGGTGGCAGCCTGCTTTGGGAGCAGGCCATGCGGTTGCCACAATCTCAGGCCGCTCCTTCCTGCCCATCTGCTCCAGGGCTCTGTTTGTATTATTCCAAAACAAACTAAGGTAGCCACTTTCAGTAAACAGAGCTATTATTTCCAGGACACAGATTCAACAGAGATCAGGCGAGGGAAAGATGAATGTTTGCACCAAACCCAAATGATCCTAATGTTTAACTAGTTTAATATTGTTAGGACATTTTTGCTCTTTGATTGGTATATTTCTTTATTGTTATTCAGACTTGCTGGGAATTGTTGAAAATCAGTTTCTGAAATGTTGTATGAATCTACATATGACATATGATCTGTGGAAGGAGGAAGAAGAACACAACTGAAAGGAAGTGAGGGATACCCAAGACATTTCAAGAAAGAGTTTGAATGCAAACCTAGAAATATGCAGGTAAAACCAAAGCAAAAAGAAGTGGAAACTCTCAATACTTCCAGAGACCTTTTCCCATTCTGGATGAGTTCTTAGACAAGTTGTTTGGGATTGCAAAACCAAATACAACCTATTTTGATGTTAAATTGGAATCATTACTAAACCAGTCACCACTCTATTTCTACCTACAACTTCAAAGTGGTCCATTAGACTTCTAATAGAAGACACAGGAGACTATCGCTCTACACTCTTAAAATGTGGCTAGGTCACTTTAAACTTGTATTTTAGGACGGGGCATTTAGAATATTCAGCTAGAGAGTCTTTAAGCCTCACTGAACTACAAAACCCAAAATCAACAGGAGGCAGTCACAGCTGTTAAAGCAGGGGTAGGCAACCTATCCCCTTTAAGGGCCGAGGGACTTCAGCTCCCAGAATCCCAGGAGCTATTGGCCAACATGGGACTATTGGCCAACATGGCTGAGGCTCCTGGGAGCTGAAGTCCCTCGGCCCTTAAAGGAGAAAGGTTGCCTACCCCTGTGTTAAAGCAACCTAGCCCTGTTTTAAGAGTGTGGTGCAATAAGCTCGTGAGACTGTCAAAATAAAGGGTGAAATGGATTTAACACTAATTCAACATATAATATTTAAAGGTACAAAAATTGGAGTAGCTCTGTGTCATTCAATGGTCCTGACTTGCTGGTTTTGTTCTGAACTGTTTGATACTGAACACAAGTACCATTTTTCTTCTGAAACAACTTCTATGCCAAAAAATTCATGGAGGAAGGGGAATCTGGGTTCTTCTCTTGCTTTTGCCCCAGCATGTAACCCTCCTCCATAAATTTAGATAGGGTAAGAAGCACACTACCTGTTTGCCAACAGGCCACAATCTTTTCAAGTCTGAACTGCTCTGACCAACACTATGCATTTATACTACTTATTATGTATGATATAAACCAGTTTAAAGATTTTCATACTACCTGTAAGCCAGAGGGACCAGGAGGGCCATCTTTTCCAGGTCTACCCTGATACATAAAACAAGACATTAAAGGAGAAAGCAAAAACTTAATATTAATCTTGTTAGAATATTGTCATTGAACACAACTGAGCAATAATCTTTATGTTTGCTGTTGTGGGTCTTCAAGCCATTTCTAACTTATAATGGCTCAAAAGTGAACCTGTCACAGGGTTTTCTGGGGCTGAGAGTGCCTGATTCACCTAAGGTCATCCAGTGGGTCTCCATGCCCAAGAGTGTATTCAAACCCTGGTCTCCCTGAGTCCTAGTCAAACATTATAACCACTACACCACACTGGCTCTAATTTTTATATAGTTCTTCAATTATATAATATATTGATTCAGAAAAAGCAATATAAAGGTGAATATGTGGATGTTACAATCCCATATTCTTGGGCAGCATTCTTATAAATAAATCTAGTCAACTACCATTTGGATTTGGTAATCATAAAATACATTTTCAAATTTTGCAACTTAAATTGAATTTTCTGGGACCTAAAAAAGTTTCTACAGCACCATACCCTCCAACTTTTTTCCAGATGAAAACTGGGAAATCATGTGGCCAAGCAGCATCAGAGTGTGGTCAAGATTGCTAATGTTATTAATTAGAAATAACAGGTAATACAGTAGAGGCTGCAGCAGTTTGCTTTTGACTGACCCTACTGGGAAGACCAAGATTCCACCCTCCTCTTCTTTCCCATTTACTGAATTAATAGAGTGCAAACTACATTTGAACTCTGAACTCAATTTGCAGCAATGGACATAAGCCAAGGACAAAGGGGAAAAGTGCTAAGAAAGAAAACCCATGACATTTTAAAACCAGCTGGAAAAAGCGAGATAGCAAAAGATTAATTGGGATTGTCCCTGCCATCCTGAGACAGTTAGGGGATATGCAACACTAGATAGCTTCCAGGGGAAAACCTATTAAATCAAACAAAAATGGTTACACACCTGAGGTCCTGGGTCTCCTGGGTCTCCTTTTACACTTTGAAAATCACCAGGCAAACCCTAGAACACAAAATTTCCTTCTACAATATTTTTAAAAAATAACATGCAATAAAGATCATGTTATAACACACAATATCAGATTAAAGCTGCTATTAATAGGTTTCTCCATTTCAGGGAAAGAAGGAAAGAAGGAAACTGTCAGACTGGGAAGGGATATGAGGCAGGTTTAAGGGAGTCTCTCAGTAAGGTACCTTCTAGTGGGCCCCATCTTACATTACTGGGTTTATGTGACAGCATGGGGGTTTCCTTCAAGTTTCTCAGAATCCCACAGAGCAAACATAAGTTCAGTGTATTGTGGGAAATTAAAATGGTGGTTTGCATACCCAGACACCAATAATTGCCATTGGTCCCTACCTGGGAGCAGGGCGTTGGCAACTGTTCAAGGAATTTGGGTACTGCCTGAGCAATGGGGATACATATGACAACCTCACCCAACTATCTGCTTTTCAACTTGCAAGGAAAAAGAAATGGGATACTTCAGGTTAAAGTTGTTTAAGCAAAGATATTTATGTATTGATTAAAGACATACACAAAGTGTATATTTGGGCAGGCAAAATGTGCACTTGAAGGAAGAGATAAATTTGAAGAATATTTCAATATCTAGCTCTCAGCTGGAGTCTGAAAGATTCATTTCAATAACACTTACTGATGCTCCTGGTGGTCCAGGAGGTCCTGGGGAACCCATGTCTCCTTTATCACCTTTTAATTCCTGTCACAGAAATATCAAAATGTAAAATCAGTATTTTTTTTAATTGAACAAATGCAAAAAGGAAGACTGTACTTTTCATTAAATGTAATAATTTTAAACTCACCCCCTTCCCCCAAGAATACATGACCAAGCACCAAATAAAACAACACAACACAACACAAAATTCTATATTGGTAAAATAGTCCACAGACGTGTGAAAAAGAGGCACAAGAGCATGGGCCTCTTCACACTGCAGAATTACAGTGCTATGATTCCAGTTTAACTGTCATGGCTACATCCTATGGAATCCTGTGATTTGCAGTTTAGGGAGAGGTATTTAGCAGTTAAAGTGGAAAACAGTGCTATAACTATAGTATGAAAGGGCCCCTAGGTATGTAAATTACATTTAAAACCTTTTTGGGATATTTTGGATTTTGGAATATTTTGGACTTTGGAATTCCAGATAGGGAAACTCAGTCTATATACACTAGCAAGAGAAAGGTATTGGTAGGATCAGGAAAAGCCCAAGCTTTTCAAAAGTACAAAAAATATTTAGGAAAAAATCTCAGCTGGGTGGTGGTGGGGAGGCCACACAAGAGTTGAGTATATGCCCTGTGGCCATGTCTTGGAATTCACTATCTGAGAAATGGAAAACCTTAATGAGAGACGTAATGGAGTACTGTTGATAAGAGCATGCTTGACTCACTGCAACACTGAACAGAAACAGTTCAAACTGTAACATTTTGTTACACGTCACACTTGTTGCTGCTTATCGCAGAACTTGCTTCATGTGCAGGAGCAATGTGAGTGTTGAACATTGATTTTCATGGTCTACAGTGTCTTGAAATCCTTACTTCTGGCTCCTTCCTTGCTATTGTATTGGTGGCCTGATAATTTGGAATATTTGATGAATTCTGTCTTTGCAAATTCCTATACAAACTGATATGATGCACATGTTGCAGAGATCTGCCAATCTGGAGGTTGGGTCTTTGTTATTTAAGGGCTTTTGCACTCATTGAGTGTTCTGACATAGTCTTCACCTCCAAAATAAAAAATGTAAAAAAGTAGTATCAAGGTAGCCTCAAAAATGTGTATTTTAAGAGGAAGTACCTGTATAAATATGCATAAGCAGAATTTTTGTTCAGGTTTTTAAAAGGCAAATCAATTTGAAAATAGAATAGAATTATAAGTACACATAAGCAACTGACTTGGATATAGGTTGGGCCACTTATCTCTATACAGACTACACAGGAAGAGTATCCTGTTAAGCAAATATTTGTTACTGTTGTATGCCTTCAAGTTGTTTCTGACTTACACAACTCTAAGGTGAACCTGTCATTGAGGCTGAGAGCATGTGACTTGCCTAAGGTCACGAATGGGTTTTATGGCTGAATGGGAATTGAACGCTGGTCATAGTCCAACACCAAAACCACTATGTCACGTATCTATATCTATATGTTATGATTATTTGTGTCAAGTTGGTTTCGACTTATGGCAACCCTATGAATGAGAGACTTCCATGAGCCCCAGTCATCCACAGCGTTGCTCAGGTTTTGCAAACTCAGGGCTGTGACTTTCAATCCACCTGTAATGTGGTCCTCTTCTTTTCTTTTTGCTTTCCAGTATACCAAATATTATCATGTTTGTCAAAGAACCATGGCTTCTCATAGAATGTATGTACGTCTAACTGTAGTCACTCTGACTTCTAGCAAGAGTTCAAGCTTGATTTGTTCTTGGACTCATTTATTCATCTTTTCGATAGTCCATGGTATTCACAGAACTCCACCACTACATTTCAAATGAGATTATTCTCTTTGAATATATATCATCTATATTGTTCACATCAGCTATATCTGTAAGGAGTTTATCACACAGCATTTAAAATGACTTACTCCAGTTGCATTTAATTCTGAAGTCGGATCCTATCACACATGCTGATGGCCAGGCGAGTGCAGCCTGGCTGCATTCTGGACCCCAGCTGTGCATATCCGGCATCTTTTTAAAAATGGCAGACTCCTGGTTTTGAAAATATGCTGGATAAGCACGGCTGGGGTCCGGGATGCAGCCGGGTTGCACTCACCTGGCCCCTAGTGCATGCAATAGAATCTGACTTCAGAATTAAATGTGTCTGGATTAAGTCACTTTAAATGCTGTGCGATAAACTCCAAAGACTTATATTTGTCCTTATATTGCTACCGTTGCATTATCTGCTCGAGTTAGTGTTACAATGACTGTTCCTGTTGGTCCAGGAGGGCCCATTAGTCCATGGTCGCCCTGTAATTAAAAAGAAATAACATAGCAGTTACTGAGAATTATTTGCATATATGATTACAGAAGCTAGGGTTATATATATCAAATAGGAAAGATTAAGAAATATACATACAGTGGAACAGTGGGGAAATTAGTTGCCTATAACCTCATTTTCACAGGCAAATTAAAAAATTGGGCCAATTTGCACATAATGATAATCCAGTATCCTGTGTGAGGTCAAGCAAGGAGAGAAGTGTATTGCCACTGCAGCCTGCCCAGTTGCTCCTGCTTGGATCCCCCTGCCAATATGAATGAATAAACAAACCAGGGAATCTTCATCAGTGGTTTGTCCAGGATTATGTTAGAAGTGAGATCCATTGATTTCTTATTCTCCTAACAAATTAGAACCATCATTTCCCCCTTCCCATTCCACTGATGGAATGATACCTTCCATTAGCAGAGTAACACAAATGGGAGATCTTTACAGATTGGATCTAGGTCACAAGCAAACTTTGCTAAAATGAACAATGCAATGTTCTATTGGTAATGCAGTGCCAACATAATTAAACATTCTTCTTCTCTACTGCCATCTACAATCTTCAGTGCTGCCGCAAATAAAAATTCCAGAGGCATTTCCATCCCATCCCACCAGTTTTTTGGGTGCATGTGAGAAGGGGGTAGGGAATTATACTGCTGAAAGTGGTTCTGAAAGCAGAATTGTCCTATTGAATCCTGATGTTTGTAATGGAATTTCATCCTGTTACTCAGAAGCAACCAGATGCAACACTTTACAATGCCATCACATTGGCACTTTACAATGCCATCACTTTACAACACTTTACAATGCCATCACTTTACAATGCCATCACTCTGCTTTACATCAAAGGAACTAGTGTCATAAACTGTAAATTGGGATAGTTTTTTGTGAGTTTTTCGGGCTGTATGGCCATGTTCTAGAAGAGTTTCTTTCTGAAGTTTCACCAGATGCTAGCCACAGATGCTGGTGAAATGTCAGAAAGAAACTCTTCTAGAACAGTGGTCCCCAACCCCCAGTCCACAGCCCAGTATCGGTCCGCAGAACAAATGGTACCAGGCCGCCCTGCTACTGACTCGACACCGCAACCCCCCCCAGTGGGCCGTTCTAGAACATGGCCACATAGCCCAAAAAACACACAAAAAACTATGGATGCTGGCTATGAAAGCCTACGACTTCACATTGCAAACTGGAATTCTTGAGCAGCTGATTCACTTATAAAAGTAGAGAGAGGAGAAGGGAGAAATGGGGACCATTTTGAAATCCTGCAGGAAACCTGTTGTAGTGACTTCAATGCAAGTAAATTGATTAATTCCCATT